TAAAAGGTTATGTTGGAACCCTTCTGTGGACCTGCATGGGTTAGAAGAGTAATGAGAATGAGAAAAATACACAAGACTTTTAGGGCCATTTCTGGGGGTTAGATCCAACAGGAAAGATGTTATTTTTTTGTTTTGTTTTGTTTTGCTTTGCTTTGTTGGAAAGAAGGGGGATTGTCCAAGGGTAGCAAGAAAACGAATTCGTAGGATCAAGTAGGCAAAGGTTTGCAAAGAAGAGAAGCAGTATAAGGAAAATCCAGCCAATAGCTAACATTATAAAGCAGATATTCATAGTAAGATGTCAATCACTTATCTTCTTGATGATGTAGTGTAGATCTTCCACTGACTCAGAGGAATAGGATGGAATGTCTTCAGTTTTCGATTGTGGGTAGTCTGGAGCCACTAGTTTTATTCTCAACAAATGAACCCACCTAGCTTTGCCTTGGAGCTTAGCTGCTGTTGGGGTGCTGAGAACCTAGATGCGTCGCTACCGTTTGGGGTCTTATTGAGCTGAATGTAAATCCTCCTTCCAGGTCTTTAATAAAACCATGTCCCCTGGTGTGATCTGGGTAGGAATAGGCTCTTTCTTGGGTACAAGTAAAGATGACCTGCTGGACCTGTCCTATCTGATTAAATGTTTGATAAATTCATGGGTTTCGGAATCAAGTAGCAAGTCTGCTGTTAAGAAAGGAATTTCAAAAGGGCTGAGTTGGAGGTCTCATTTTAGGGCCATTCTCAATCTCAAGAGGGATATGGGCATGAGTTCTGTCCAGGATTCTGAGGTTTCCTGGCAAGATTTTTGGCCAAGATTTTTCAAAGGGTTTGATTAGCCAAGAATTGGTGTCTCCAGGCAGCATGGAGGTGGTCATGAGCTCCCAAGACAGAAGACACTTGTTGAGTCACTCTTGCAATAAAGAATGAGCTGTTATCACTCTACAGAGACTTTGGAAACCCAAAGTGTGGGATAATGTCCTCTGGTAGAGCTTTCACTACCTCTTGAGCTTTTTCTGTTCTACCAGGATGAGCTTCTATCCAACCAGTGACGGTGTTCACAAAGACCAAGAGGTATTTCTATCCCTGAGATGGGGGCATCTGAGTGCGGTCTATCTGCCAGTCTTCTCCAGGGTATATGCCTTGTCTTTGGATGGTCTGAAGGAATGGCAGTAGTCTAAGCCCTCCCCCAGAGGTGTTCTTGTGATAAAGGTTACAGCCCCTGGTGACTTCCTTGATCACCCTTGACAGGCCAATTCCTAAAAACGACTCTATTAACTAAGGAGGTTAATGTGTCTCTTCCCAAATGAGAGGAGTCATGTAGTCCCTTGATGATTTTCCACTGGAACACCTGGGGAAGATCACCTTTTTGCCATCCCTTAGGATGCCGTTGATAGTGTTTCTGCGGAGCGCAGTATTTTCCTTTATGTATATTGGGGATTTTGTTGAAGGATTGGCCGACGAAGGAGCAAAGCTCCTTGTACTGGGAGTTTGGGGCCCTAAAGTCATCTTTTGGAGTTTGCTACACATATTTGGCTTATAAAATGAATTCTCAGGACCAACCATCCCTCTAGGGCATCTGGATCTACACTGGTGAACTTCTGTGGCCCTTCTACCAGATGTGACTAAAAAAGAGCAGGATTCTCATTGGGTCCTTGGGTGATCTCCCTCACCTTATCATAGTTTACTAGCTTGATGATACATCTCTTCATGCCTAGTACTATGTGGTCCCTGAAGCCTAGTCCCTGCTACCTGGGGTGATAATTCCAATAAGGGTCTATCTGAGGGATGGCTCTCATTCTAATGGGACAACTGTTAGGCTAGGTAGCATGAAGAGCATCTGCATATGTTTCTGCTTCTGCCCAGATGTAGAATCACTCCTCTGTACTGCAGCAATAAGAGAGAATGACCAGAAGGTCCTTCCAGGTTAGATCAAAAGACTAGAGTCAGGCTCCAGAATTCCTCAGTAAATTTTCTAGAATCCTCAGAAAACTGGCCTAAGTACTCATGGCACTGCCCAAGATCTGACATCAAAAAGGGAACGTAGAAGGGCACCGGGGTGGCTCAGTCAGTTAAGCATCTGACTCTTGATATTGGTTCAGGTTGTCATCTCCTGATCGTGAGATCAAGCCCTGCATCAGGCTCCATGCTGGGTGGAGCCTGCTTGGGATTCTCTGCCCCTTCCCTGCTTGTTCATATGCATTCTCTCTCTCTCTCTCTCTCTCTCTCTCTCTCAAAATAAATAAGCATTAAAAAAATAAAGGGTGTGGGGAGCTCCTGGTGGCTCAGTTGGTTAAGCTTCTAACTTCTGCTCAGGTCATGATCTCACGGTTTATGAGTTCTAGCCCCTCATTGGCCTCTCTGCTGTCAGCACAGAGCCTGCTTCAGATCCTGTCTCCCTCGCTCTCTGCCCCTCCCCGACTTGAGCGTGCACTCTCTCTCTCTCTCTCTCAAAAATAAACATTAAAAACAAACAAAAAGGAACATACACTCTTGTGGTCCCCTGGGGTCCACCTGTCACCTCCTGGGATCCCTACCCATTCTTCTTGTCTCTCACTGGAGACATCAAGTTCCAATATAGTTTTATAGTTAAGACTATCATTTTCTGACTAGAGCTTCCAGTCCTCTAGCTTATATGGAGGCCAAGGAATGTTACAAAAAAAAAAAAAAAAAAAGAGCATTTTCCTACTTAGGCTTTCTTTCTTTCTTTTGTTCTTTCTTTTTTTTATGTTTATTTCTGAGAGAGAGAGAGTGGGAGTTGGGGAGGGGCAGAGAGAGAGGGAGACACAGAAGCTGAAGCAGGCTCCAGGTTCTGAGCTCTCAGCACAGAGCCTGACTTGGGGCTCAGACTCACAAATCATGAGATCATGACCTGAACCGAAGTCGGAGGCCGCCACCCAGGTGCCCCTCCTTATTTTTTTTTTAAGTTTATTTAATTATTTTGAGAGAGAGAGCGTGAGCAGGGGAGGGGCAGAGAGAGAGGGAGACACAGAATCCCAAGCAGGCTCCACGCTGCAGCACAGAGCCCTATGCAGGGCTCAATCCCAAGAACCTGAACCAAAATTCAGAGCAGGACACTTAACTGACTGAGCCACTCTGATGCCCTTATTTAGGCTTTCTAATGGGAACTGATCCCAGTGCCTCAAAATACATCCCACAGGGAATTCTTTGGGGATGGAGGTGGAACTGCCATTGTGTTCAGGGAGAGAGTTGACTCCTGTCAACTAGAAAAGAAGCAACTAAACCAGGCCTCCCACTACGAGAAGGCTGGAATACTATTTCCCCGAGGAGAGTTAGCTGTCTTTTGGGAACCTGCTAGGACCTCAGTTGGGAGCTCTTCTAGAGTGTTCCAACGGCAAGAGGACTATGGGCATCCCCAGCCTGCTGTCCGTTCATCTGGTCATCATGGCTGTGGCCAGCATGCCATGTGATGACCCAACAACAGCCCTGGCGTCGCAGGGCCTAAGTCTCTTTCCAGCATCTGCAGTCCCGAGAGTGACAGCATTCCTGACAACCCTAAATGAAATGATGCCTGACCCTAAATGAAATTAACCCTGACGTCCCAGGATGCAGCCCTCTGCAACAGGCACCATCATGATTTCAAGATCACTGAATCTCCCACTCTCCTTCTATTGATAGGCCTCTTAACAACTGGTGGCAAACAACAGCCACCACAGACAGGGATCTCTTTGAGTGTCCAAAAACTTCTTGTCCGACCTGTTGATCTCTCCTACTTTGTGGTTAGTTCTGGTGAAACTAATCTCTATTTTCCAGTTCTCTTTGCATCCCCGAATTATTTGGGTGGAGCCACATTTAATTAAGTGATGGATAAGGCGTACCCACAGATCCGCAGGGAGAGCTCTCTGTAAGTGGGGTCCCTTGCCAGGGAGCAAAAGGCTTTATAGCCTATTTTATGATGATCTTTAAAGTCGAAGTTGGCAATCAGTGCAGAACCTTTGTGATGGGTGATGGTGTCTTCCAGGTCCCTGTGCCCCACCACCAACAGAGAATGCGTACGTAGGTATAAGAAGAAGTGGCTGAAGCCAGACAAGGGGGGTGGGGGTGGGCAGAGTGTCCTATGACCAAGAAGCAGATTCCTGAAGAGACAGCCTGGGAATATCAGTCACCTAGGGACCAGTGCAGAGGATCGCTGGTGTCGCTTCCACGAGTGGCCACAAGTCCCTTACACGTCTGGGAGCACTGAGGATCAGTTTTATGTGTGCATACCCAGATAAGCCAAAGTTTTAATTACTAGTGCAATGGAAAGTCCCGTGGGATTGCTGTGTGTCCTGAGAAATCATCTCGGATACTTCCGTAACACTTTTAGTCGCTTAAGAGTGCCTTTCGGCTGGAAGGAGCAAGTGTCCCTTTAATTCTTTGGAGCTGAACATTACTTTCTCATAAATACTACTAGACCATTCTGTTCCCAGGTAGATCAGAAAGAGCAAGAGAACAAAGCAATGGTGACTTGACTAAGCAACACTCCAACGCAAGAGGCGAGTGTTGGAGACTCACCAATGAAGAGGGTTCCTCAACACTCCATTTACCTCTTCCTGCCTGGCTCCCCAAAAAGATGTTGCCAGGTGAACTGGTGACACCGGGCCCCTGAGGCCTCTGCCCAGCCCAAGGATGTCCCTGGGGGCTCCGGGTCTCATTGCAAGAAAGAATTCAAGGATGGACCAGACACAGTGGATGAGCGGTTGCAAGCACTAAAGTTTATTAAGGTGAAAGTATGCTCTGAAGAGGTGAGAGCGGACCGGCTCCAGGGAGAACTGCACACTGGGGGGTTTTGGGGGTCTACATTATTGACAGCTGTTAACTAGAATATTTATTATCCGAGGCAGCGATTTCTTGAAAGCAGGGTCTCGGGCCTTTCCTTCCTTATTTGGTCAGGGTTTTCTGGTCTTTGTCAGCCGGTTTGGGCCAGTCCAGTTTGATTCTTCTTCCTGTGGCTTTGCTGCCGCGACGGGCCTGACTTTCTTATGGCTGCACTGGCCACGACTTCCCTTTTCCTGGCCTCCAGGTATCCTGTTCAAAGCTAACTAGCTTCCTACTCTAACCGGAGCATAGGACAGTCTAGAATCACCAGATAAGGGGTGTGGTGCGATGACGAGCAAACCAGGCAAGAGATTTAGGAGGATCTTGGATCCAGGAAGGAACTGGGGAAGCGATTTCTGGACTCCCCAAAAATCCCGGTCTCCAGCTCAGAGCCAGCTGCTAGGAGGAGGCCCTAAAAGATGGCTTCTCGGGCAGTGGCTAGCTGCTGAGAGTCACTCTTCCCAGCAGGAAACTACGATGGTCTTAACGCAGGAAGAGAGAACCCAACACTGCGCCTAGCTGAACACAACGCGTTTGGGGAAGAGAACTCGCTCTCGCACTCTGAAAAGCTGGAAGCAGATGGGCACGCCCCCAAGCCCTTTCCCAGATCTTATTGGTTGCCTTCAGCCAGCCCCTCTCTCAGTACGTCTCTGCTATTGGTCAGTATTGCCAAGCTTCGGCGGTCACAGACAATATCCGGAACCAATCGTCTCCAATCCCCACCCGGTCTCTCCGCAACCTGTGAGTGACATACACGCAAACCAATGAGAAATAAAAGTGAGGATGCGAAAACGGGACTCCTTCCCTTTTTTCCTCAGCTCGTTCAGCAAATGGTAGAAAAGGCTGAGCAGCTGATACCAACCACCAATCCGTAAGGGCGGAAGAGGGATGAAGAGAAGAGTGATGGGAGGGGGTGACGTGGCAGTGACGGGGGCATACCCTGAAATGAGTGGCGGAAACAGCGACCAATCGGGAGCCGAATTGGCCGGGCACTCTGCATTCTCGTGTCCTCCCTGAGCGCCGGAGCCTGCGGGAAAGCACCAATGAGCTTGTACATGAGTCTGATTGGCCTTCATCTGAACCAATCAGCGGCGTTTGTGGAAGACGCGTCCCACCCCGGGCTCTCACTGGGCGGTGTGGGATGACAGGCCCGAGAGAAATGCCAATGTCCTAGGGGTCCTCCGCAAGTGACGCTCAGCGGCACCAATCGACTGCCTCTTTCCCGGCGACCGAGCCCTCCTCCCGCGGCGGGCCTGGCGGGGCGGGGACGCTGCGCGGCCGCGGCTGATGCGCTAGCCGTGTGGGGCGCTCCGGGCGGCGACGGCGGCTCTCGTAGGCGGTTCCGGTCCTGTATCTCGGGGCGGCGGCGGCTCATGGCGGCGACGGAGCTGAGAGGGATGGTGGGGCCGGGGCCGGCGGCCATTGCAGCTCCGGGCGGCGGCGGCACCGGTCCTCCTGTGGTGGGAGGCGGCGGCGGCGGCCGCGGAGACTCGGGGCCGGGCTCCGGGGCCGCGCTGGGCACCGTGGCCGCGGCGGCGGCGGGCGGCCCGGGCCCCGGCGCCGGGGGAGTGGCGACTGCGGGCCCGGCCCCTGCGCCGCCGGCGGCGGGGGGCTCCGGCGGCTCGGGCGCCGGGGGTTCGGGCTCGGCTCGAGAGGGCTGGCTCTTCAAATGGACCAATTATATCAAAGGCTATCAGCGGCGGTGGTTCGTGCTGAGCAACGGGCTCCTGAGCTACTACAGGTAACTGCTTCCGGGGCGCCGTCCCCCACCGCAGCCCACAGTTCCCGCGCCGTCACCCTCTGGAGCCGGCCCCGCAGCCAAGGTCGCCCCAGGCCCCTTTTCGTCACCTGCGCGCACTGACAGCCCGCGACACGAGCCCACCCTCACGAAAGTGAACGCACCGGGGCTTCCCTCTCCACCTGGGTTACCCGCCCTTGGTGCAGTACCTTCCCCTCCGTCCCTGGCCTTTCCAGTTGTTTGGAGAGCATCTACTCTTCCATTGTGTTTGCACCAGCGCCGCGGTGCAATGATGAATTCTGCAAGGAAGGCGCTGTCGTATATGCTAAGGGGCACATGTAGGAGAGCAGAGCCCAGGCACGGGTCTCAGGGAACTTACTGTGAAAGTCCCAGATCTTAGCTGTCTGTGCCCAGCCTCCAGAATTCAAGGTTATTAGTAGCCTTTGATGTACCCGCCGTTGCTCTCTCCACGTTTCACGCACAAGGACACCAGGCACAGGGTGGCCTCCGTATCTCTCCCCTGTCTTTATCTCTCTCAGACTTGGCATGTGCTTTCTCCTTCTGGACAGCCCAGAATGGAGATGTGCACTCCAGGGCTGCTTTTATTTACCCTGACCCCACCTCCCACCACGGGAATAATTTCAGTGGTCCCTCCAGTATTTCTGGGGTCTCTTTGGGTGGTGCAGTTTAAGTTTTATTAAAAGAAGAATCCATGCCTTTGGTATGATTACTTCTGTTCAACAGTGTTTGTTTTGGAATGTTTAATATATAATCGTGGTGACTCACAAGCTTGCCGTCACCGTAGCATGCTTTGGGCTATTCAGGTTATCCGACATAGAGGGGGTAAGTAAGATGCTGGATGTGGAGACAGGACATAAACATTTCCTTGGGGTACTGGACAGTTTGGATAGTTTCACTGACTCCCAGCAATAACCCTGGGAGTCAGGAGATATTCCCATCTTACTGATGAGGAAAACTGAGACTTAGCCTGGGCAACTTTTCCAAGGTCTTGAAGAGTCAGCATTTGAAACTGGTTCTCTTGTTTCCATCATAAACTAAAACCCAAGTTATCCTTTCCTGAATCAATCAAATGACAGATAATTGCTTGCCTGTAGCAAGTATGTTTCAAGATCACCTTTGTTATATACAAAATATACATAGTTTCTAGATCACAGTACTTTATACTAAGTGTATAAAAGTTTCCACCCTTCACTGTATACGAAATGTATACAGTTTCTAGATCACACTACTTTATATGAAATGTATAAAATTTTCCTTTAAGGGAGACTTTGCTTATTATAATGGCATTCCTAATTGAAATCTTTTTATGAAGACCATCCTATTTAAGACCCAAAATGCTGTTAAGAGCAGCTTACTGTATTTCTTTTCCTCTGCAGGTAGTCACTCTGCTACCGGGAGAGATAGGGTGAATGAATCTCTTCCGTCATCTCCACTGTATCAGCACTTAGCGAATTTTGAGGGGGAAATTGAAGGTGGGAGTTGGAGGTTGTTGAAGCAAGAACCACATTCTTATCTAGTCTCTAACAGTGAAAAATGCCTTAGCACATCCTCACTGCTTACGCCACATTGTGAACAGCTGTGTGTGTCATTTGCATCATTATATTCAGAATAGATTTTAATTTTAACCCTCTCAGTACTCATCCAGGATGATCAGTTTAAGGTTCGATCACACATCTAAAATTTTAGTGTGTTCAAAGTTTTTCTCCTGTTCAAGTTCCTGTTTTCCTGGTACACTGACCATCATCCTAAAATTCAGTTGATTCGTATCCTAACTTGGCTCGTAAGTCACTATTAACAGTGCTCATTTTCAAAAGTTGTGTATCAGCCGAGGACCTTACTGTATGATCATTTTTCCTCATCCAGATTCTTATCAGATCGTCTTTCCAGGCCAGTTGACCTTTGATCGGTACCAGTCTTAATATTGATCTTGGTTGGACATTAATAACTTCTATGTTGCTATCTCTTCAAGTATTTGGAACCCCTTTTAACTTCTCTCTTACAAGAGCTAGTGGCACCTGCCTGACTACAGAGCAAACTCCTTCCAAAGCATACCAAACCACATATTGGGAAATATGCCACAGGCCTGCCTTTGCCAGCTACGATGGTCCCACCCACAAACCAACCCAGCAACAGGAACTAGGGTTATCAAATCTATACACTACCTTCAAAATCACAGTGAAGTTCTTCTACCAACTAGATTGGTAGTTTCTTCTTCACAGGGTTCTCCGTGTCCCCATCTCCCTACAGTTATTTAGCTAAGTTGTCATTCCTCCTGCTTCTCATGCCTCCGAAACCAATCCTCTCCCCTATATGCTACAAAATATTGCTTTCTTTTTAACTGAGATCATATACTTCCTAGACCCATCCTGTGATGAACTGTCCTCAGAGGCTTTGGCGGGCTGCTTCCCTCTTTTCACCCATCCTGTTTTTCCTTACTTGCACAGATACATGGATGGCCCCTTCCTTAAAGCCATATGTAGAGTCCCAGCTTTCCCAGACACAGGATGACCGGGCCATAGCATTAGTTTTCCTGACTAGCTTCCAGAGATTGGGTTACTGTGTCTGCTGGCTTTACAGGGAGCTTGCCGGTCAGAACGCACCACCTCATTAACACTGTAGTGCCTGGAGAACTTACCTTGGACTCTCCAAACCATGTCTTTCCAGCCTCTATGCTAATCATTGATAAACACAGGTGTATCTGGCGTGAGCCCAGGGGCTCCTGGGCCAAGCCTGCCTCGCTCCTGGGCTTCCTCGGTATTTCCGCCACTGCTACAGACTCTGTGTGGTTTAAGAGACTCCTTCAGTTTATGGAGATGACCCAGGCAGAAGAGATTCCTGGCCAGTCGCTTGCGAAAAGTACCAGCACGTTGTGAGTCACGTGGTGCAGGGTCTGAGCAGCACCTTTGGAGCAGAAAGCCAGGGTCTGAAATGGGGCCTGCATTATTCATAACGTAACTGTAGCTGGGGGGCGGGGGAGGGGAGGTAAGCATAGAAAAACCAGGGATTCACATTACAGCATGGCAGGTGCACGGGATGAAAAATGGCCCAGTCCAGTGAGACCCCCCCCCAACCCCCCCCCGGCCATCCCATACTGCTCGTTTGTGCATTTGAGGAAGAAAACCCAGTTTCATGTGACACACTGAACAATAGCAAATCTGTCTTCCTAAGCCCAGTAAACAGACTTTCTCAAACACACCAAGTCTTCGTTTCTGGAGGTGGGGTGTGTGTCCTTTCTGGCACACAGGGGCTCTGGACGTGCCAGGTGTGTTGGGCCGCTGGGCTCCAGTGAAAAGGAAATGGCTCCGCTCTGTACTGTGGCACTTGGCCAAGGACTTTGACCTCTTTATGTTCCAAGTTGGTCAGGGAAAACTGTGGTCTCAACATGCAGGTCTCTGGGCAGAAGCAGCGGGCTGAGTGGAGGGAAATTTCGCTCCGTGGGCAAGGTATACTCAGGCCTGCTAGCAGCTTGGTATTTTACGTGAAGTGGCTTATAGCCTGTTGTCACCAAGTGGTGATGTAAAGTTCAAAAGTTAGCCTATTAATAGAACTGTCAGTCAGTAGAGATGGGGAAAATTTTTACACCCAGTCCTCCGAGAACAGATTTGCTGAATCGTTCTTAGCTATTAATAGGATGGCTTAGGAGTTCCCACCAACAGAGTCCAGCGGACCTTTGGCAAGAATAGATTCCAGAAAGAATATACTACCTGGTGATTCTTTTAGGATTATTCTTTACTCCCACAGAAAGCTAGTCATTTCTCTTACATATCATTTGACCTGTAGTCGATATTTAACGTGCCAAACATCTCAGCGTTCCTTACACTTATGCAATATAATTCTTTTTTTTTTTTTTTTACATTTTTATTTATTTCTGGGAGAGAGAGAGAGACAGCGTGAGCAGGGGAGGGTCAGAGAGATAGGGAGACACAGATTCTGAAATAGGCTCCAGGCTCTGAGCTGGCAGTCAGCACAGAGCCCGACGCGGGGCTTGAACCCATGAACTGCGAGATCATGACCTAAGCGAAAGTCGGACACTTAACCGACTAAGCCACCCAGGCGCCCCTTGTGCAATATAATTCTAAGCATAGTGTGACAGTTCTCATTTGGGCTGGGTTACAGTTTGGGAGGGGGGTGCAGTATATGCAGAATGGAGCTATTCTTTCTCTGAGGCGATGAGATCGATATAAGAAGTTCTGTTGCAAGAGTTTATAAACCAATATTTTATAACTATAACTCGCTAAATAAAATGGAATTCCTGACTACAGAAGGGCAGGAGGGAACTTTTTGGGGTGATGGAGATTTTCTACAGCTTGATTGCGAAGGCAACTACACAATTGTATACATTTGTCGAAACTCAACCGCATTTCACACTTAGCATTGCCGGATTACCATCATATGTTGTTAATGCTCCCGTGAAGGCGATTCCTAAAAGGCTAAGGGGGAGAGGAGCCGCAGACCAATGCAGTCTGACTCAGAAACAGCACTTACTGGCTGTGAAAGGAGAGCCCTGCTGACTTGGGAATTGGAGGGAGCCATCTGAGGGAAGTAGTAGAACTTGCTGTTTCCTAGGACTACTGTGTTTTTCAAAAGGGTAACGGGAAGACGAGGGATGTGGTGAGGGATGCACCCTCTGCCAACTTTGTCCTGAGCTCCTCTTCGTCTCATTATTGTAGGTCGAAGGCCGAAATGAGACACACCTGCCGTGGTACCATCAACCTCGCCACGGCCAACATCACCGTGGAGGACTCCTGTAACTTCATCATTTCCAACGGGGGTGCTCAGACCTACCATCTGAAGGCCAGCTCAGAAGTGGAGCGGCAGCGCTGGGTCACGGCCCTGGAGCTGGCCAAGGCGAAGGCCGTGAAGATGCTGGCAGAGTCAGGTAGGGAGCAGAGCACGTAGAGCTTGCCCCTCCTAGGCACGGAACTCATCCTCTCCCTCCCTGTCATTTAATTATCAGCCGTCCCCTAGGTGTGTCGAGCTTCTCATCACACGGTGTCTCTCCCTACAGCGGTGACTTGCAGCTGGGGGCCAGTGCTGCACTGCAGGGGACACTAGGCAGTGTCTGGAGACGTTTTTGTTGTCACAGCTGAGGCACGGTGGTGCCGCGGGCATCCAGTGAGTAGAGGCCACGGATGCCGCTAAGCCTCCGACGGTGCACAGGGCAGCGCTCATGACAAAGATGGATCTGGGCCCAGATGCCAGGAGTTCTGAGGCCGGGAAACTCTCCTGGGGGCATGATGGGTGTCTTGTGGCTTTTAATGCCATTTGACTACTTTAACGTTGTGAGAAATAATTATTTTATGGCTGGGGCAGCGTGAAGATTATTACAGGTCACAATTTGGTTCTCTCTTTGCTTTTTTCTTTTGCCCCTGACAGTTTCTTATTTTTTTACAACTTTTTTTAAGTCGATTCCATCCCCAATGTGGGGCTTGAACTCACAATCCTGAGATCAAGAGTCACATGCTCTAGCGATTAAACCAGCCAGGGGCCCCTTTCTCATTTATTTTTTATTTAAAATAAAACATTTTTTTTCTTTATTCCTATTTTGAGAGAGAGACAGAACATGAGTGAGGGAGGGGCAGAGAGAGAGAGGGAAACACAAAATCTGAAGCAGGCTCCAAGCTCTGAGCTGTCAGTACAGAGCCTGATATGGGGATAAAACTTAGAAACTGTGAGATCATGACCTGAGCCAAAGCCTGACGCCTAACTGACTGAGCCACCCAGGCGTCTCTCTCATTTATTTCTTAATTGAGTTGAAACCGTCTTTATAGATTGCCAAAAACATTACACGGGATACTCTTTTTTTTTTTTTTTTTTTAATGTTTATTTATTTATTCTGAGAAAGAGAGAGATCTCTGTGCAGGGGGCAGAAAGAGAAAAAGATTGAGAGAGAGAGAATCCCAAGCAGACCTAACGCTGCCAAGACATGGGGTTCAGTCTCATGAACTGTGAGATCATGACCTGAGCCAAAATCGACGGTTGGACGCTCAGCTGACTGAGCCACCCAGGCGCCCTTACATGGGATACTTTCTATGAGAAATCTTCATTTCACTACCTTAGTTTCTCTAAAAAGAGCAGCCTCATCATGTTTTGATTTTTCTTCGAGGGAAATGCTCGGATTTCCCCTGTCCCAGCTGTTGATAGTTTAATCACACTGAGCATATTCACTCAGGGCTGCCCAAGATGGTCACCTGCTGACTGTTGTTCATCTCTCCTGTTTTTCTTATCCCCTCTCACCTCCCACACTGGATTTTCTATCTGTTGCCCAGTGAAAGGGAAATTCCCTGCTTGTAAGTTTTCTTGTAACGGGTTATATTTTGACTTTGGTCCTGCCTCTCCATCTAGCAGACAGGACAGGCCTTCCTTTTTTCTCCTGTTTTGATGTTAGTGCTGACGTTAGCTCCCTCAAAGGAAGTGACACTGTTGGAAAAGCACTTGGCGGTTGCAGAGTGTTAGGTATGAAACTGCTCGCGAGAGGTACGACACGGCTCTCAGTTCGATGTTTTGTTGGAGGGCCATTTAACACAAGGCCTTGCAGCACCTTCAGTGCTCTGATGGCTTTCATGCCAAATGAGCATCACAAAGTTCCCGAGCTCTCCTCTGGAAGAGATAAATCAGTGGGTCTCTCGGTGACGTAGATGTTGTTTGCCAAGAGCCAGACTGCAGCTCTCAACCCATTTCATACAGGGCTCACCTACTACCCAGCAGATGGGCACGTAGACTGGATTGGAACCCTCAAGCTTGAGTAAAAGGCTCAACAGTTCATTTCCAAGGCCAGGAGCCATTTAGCTTCTCCATCCTGTCCTCCAGGTCATTGGTTCTCAAAGCTCAGCGTGCACTGGAATGGCCTAAGCAACTTACTCAAAATGCAGGTCATGGGCCTTGCCTCAGACCAGCCCAATCAGTTTCTGGGGGTGAGGCCAGAGCCTCCTTGGCACCTTTTAGAAGAATCCCAGGGGTGAGGGGATTGAATGTAGGAGGTCAGAAGGTACAGACTTTAAAAAGATAAATACTGGGGAAGTAACATACAGCATGATGACTATGGGTAACACTATATGATATATTTGATCATTGCTATGAGAGTAGATCCTAAAAGTTCTCATCACAAGGCAAATAAACATTTTTTCCTTTTTTTTTTTTTTTTGGTATCTGTATGAGATGATGGATACTAACTAAATTTCTTGTGGTAATCATTTGGAAATATACATAAGTCGAATCATTATGCTTATATATTGCTATATGTCAATTATAACTCAAACTGGAAGAAAAAAGAAAAGTGTGAGCAAAATAAATGCTTATTGTGTGGCCCAGGGCAGGGGGCGTGGGGGGAGAATAACCCTGGCTGTCTGTGGCCCCACACCACGGTCGAATCAGTGGGGAGCTGTGGACCGCACTGTGGTCAAATCGTCGTCTGGTAAGGGCGAGCACCCGGTCGGTCAGAACGCCTGGCCTGAGGAGAGCTAGTTTAGCTGTACACAGAGTTGGTCGGGTTCACAGTCCAGTAACTGGCATCCTCCACCTCCCCGTCGGGCCCCTACAGATGAGTCGGGAGATGAAGAGTCTGTGTCACAAACCGACAAGACTGAGCTGCAGAACACCCTCCGGACGCTGTCCAGCAAGGTGGAGGACCTGAGCACCTGCAACGACCTGATCGCCAAGCACGGCACAGCGCTGCAGCGCTCCCTCAGCGAGCTGGAGTCCCTGCGGCTGCCCGCCGAGAGCAACGAGAAGATCAAGCAGGTCAACGAACGGGCCACGCTCTTCAGGATAACGTCCAACGCCATGATCAATGTAAGTGCACACGGTGCCCGTGTTGCTTTTTTAAAAATGTATTTATTTTTAAATCATTTTTTAAGCTTGTTTATTTATTTTGAGAGAGAAAGCATGAGCTGGGGAGAGGGGTGAGGGAGAGAGACTCCCAAGCAGGCTCCATGCTGCTAGCGCAGAGCCCAGTGTGCAGCTCCAACTCCTAAACCGTGAGATCGTGACCTGAGCCGAGAGCAAGGGTGGGGCACTTAACCAGCCAAGCCACCCAGGCACCCGCTATGTTGCTTTTTGATTCTTTCCCTCTGGAAACATCATGCTCCCTGAGTGCTGGAAAATCGCAATTGATAAAGCACAGAGCGTTAGGTCCTGCTTCACTGCTCGGGGGACTCAGGTGACATTGTGTGCTGCATGCAGTAGAACAGGCCGCACAGATGGAATGACTTTCGTGCTCTGCTCCAGCGGCTGGTCAGCACGCCGCTCCAGCGTGGGAAGGAACTAGGAGTTCAGAGGTCCAGCCTTGCTCCTGCAGCCGGCAGGACATCTGCTGGTGTTAGTTGGGTCCCTTTACCTCTCCGGGTTGTGGTTTGGTCTGTTTGTTTTCTTCTAGCTTTATCTGTTGGATCTGAGAGGCCTCTGTGGGTCCTTTCTACGGTTGTGTTTGAGCTCCAGGTTGGAGTCTGACTGTACTTTGCTAGTGTGTTCTGGCCTATAGTGTGGTAAGTGGGGGCTGGCCAGGTGCTAGGGAGAACTTTATAATATGAGCTAGTCCCATCTTTAGTCCTTGATTTTGGGGGTAACTCTAGGTTACCTTGATTTTAGGGGTAACCCTAGGTCACTCTAGGACAGAGTACTCCAGTTTGGGTACTTTGGTCCCAAAAAGAAGGGGCCAACGCTTCTGCCTCCTTACGACTCCGGCCTCAGGAGGCTGATGGTTTTGGGCATCAGTGATGTATTTCAGATACTAGGTGATAGTTGTGAATTGAATACATGGTTTAAACAGTGCTGGTGACCAGTTCTCACCTGGCTGGTTGTTTCAGTTAGCTTGCACATGAGAACACCAGAGGATGAGTCCTAAGGCAGGTGAAAAGAGAATCCTGAGAAAGGGCTTATGCTGGCTTTTCCCCTAATTCAGTGGGATGAAATTACTCCACTAGGGCCACGTTTTCCCTTGTTCAGGTAGTGACACTAAGACGTCTGCTTAGAGCTAGTTTAGTTCACAGGGCTTCTAGGGATCAAAGGTCTTCTCCTGTGACCAAGGGAAAATTTAGTTTTTCTCACTTAAAACCCCTTTGTTACTTAATAGAAAGTTGTTCTAACCTTGATTTTCATATCATTTTCTGAAGTGTTGAACATTTTCTTTAGTGCTCTGATTCACATGAGGTAGAAGAGACTAATTATTTTTGTCCACTTTCGCCCAGGACCATTTTACCAACCAGCATGGATGCTTGTGTTTCTAATGTCTAGTCGTGTGCTCTTTTTCCAAACTGTCCTACTTCTTAGTGACTGCGTGCCTCTTTTTCAGGTCGTCTTATGATCAGGAAAACCTCATAAATCATTCAGGTCAATTAACTTTTTTTTTAGTTTATTTATTTATTTTGAGAGGGGAAGAGCAGAGAGAGGAAAGAGAATCCCAAGCAGGCTCTGCGCTGACAACCCGGGGCCCGAACTCATGAACCATGAGATCATGACCTAAGCTGTCGTCAAGAGTCAGACATTCAACTGACTGCGCCAGTCAGACTCCCCAATAAATATACTTTTTATTTATTTATTTAAATGTTTATTTCTGAGAGAAAGAGCACAAGCAGGGGAGAGGCAGAGAGAGAGGGAGACACCGAATCTGAAGCAGGCTCCAGGCTCTGAGCTGTCAGCACAGACCCCGATGCAGGCCTTGATCCCACGAATTGTGAGATCATGACCGGAGCCGAGGTCAGTAGCTTAACCAACTGAGCCACCCAGATGCCCCTAAATATACTTTTTAAATAGAACAGCTCAGGACACAACAGTCTCCTGACAGTGAGTGTTGCCTTTTATCCGTGTCATGTGGACACCCTGCTCCGTGGCTGTTTTCTTCTCCTCCAATGTGAAAAATTTGCTAAATCAAACACCTCCTGATTAAAACATTTCTCACAAAACTGAAACTTTGTTTGGATTTTTTTCTTTTGAAAAAATGCTCATGTTTGTTCCTTGGGGCAATTCTTGTTCCCCAAGTTGTAAATGTTCAGAGTTTGTGTTGAAGGGAATGATCCCTTGGAAGTGAGAGGTAAGTTGGGTTTTTCATTCTGTTCTCCCCAGCCCCCCTGTGCCCCCTTCATAGCTGGTTGTGGCTTGAAATGCATTTTTTATCATTGTGTTGTTTCCTTTGTATCTTTTAGGTGATGATGGCAAGGCCTTAAAATTAACATGCTAACTTCACATCTCAAAATAGGCCAAGTTTTATCAAAGCATGAGTACATTGCACTCAATTTCTTGGTTGCTTAGGACATAGCTTTTATTACCAAAGTGAATCTAACCAAGGAAGTAAATTTGACACTGTTAGCGCATCCATCTGCTTATTTAGCAAACATCTGTTGAGCCCCCTCTGTGCTCTAGGCCCTGTGCCTAGAATATAAAACAGATGTGGATGTGGTCCCTGCCCTCCGGGAGATTATTCTCTAGTGAGGGGACAGAGAAGTAAGTGGATCTCCATAGAGTGTGCTAAGTGCCGTTGTAGAAAGGAACACAGGCTGCTATGGTATAGTACATTCGAGGCTTTTAGCTTAGAGCAGGAAGATTAGAGAAGGTAACTCCTCAGCTAAATTCTGAAAGACGAGAGAGCTCGGGGCCCTGAAGTTCCAACTGCCTTGGTTAACTAACTCCAAAACCTGCTTCTTCTGTGAATTCCAGTTCTTTTCTGTAAACGGTGATGATACTAGTAGCCGCTCAGAGGATTGTTGAAAGGCTTTTATTAGCTAATTGATGCAAAGTGTTCAGCAAAGTGTCTAACCTATAATTGTCTCACTAAATTTTAGGTATGATCAGTAGTATAAGAAGTGAGGGAGAAGAGCAGATCTTGGCGCAGCTGTGGCTGTGTGGATCCCTCCGTCTCTTCCAAAGTCTGGGAACTACTAATTGGCCATTAGAACAAGGAAGTAGCTAGAGATAAGACAGGTCAGGGATTAAGTGTGGGGGAGGGGACGGGGTGCAGATCTTACTAAATGGGCTTGGTAGAGTGGATTAGAAGCGGATAAGACCGATTTTGATGGAGGCTTAACTATGATAGCTGACACCTTATTGAATGCTTACTGTGAGTCCAAGATTTCTAAGTCCTTTACATGTGAGGCAACCACGCTTTGAGATGGTTGCTGTGGTTATCCTTTGTTTACAGCTGAGGCACAGAAAGGTTAAATAACTTAACCCAAATTCCATAGCTAGTTAGTGGGATGGAGCTGTGATTCAACCCCACCAGCGGAACTCCAGAGTAGATACTCTGTACTGCCTCTGAGTGTAGAGGATGGAAAGAAATGTCCACAGATTCCAGAAATAGTAAAGAAGAATCAATAGCACAGATCATCAGAAATGGGAAAGGGAGAAAAATTAAGAATCAAGAATGCCTCCTGGTTTCCTGGCTTGGGCAGGAGGTACTGTTCTTGGTGCGGAGGGCAGACCCCAAAGGGAGAGGCAGAGTCAGAAAGGGAACGTGGTGAGTTCATGCTGAGCCCCAGTGATTTTGAGATTACTTTCAGCCATTGGATGGACAGTCGGATATTCTGTCTCCGTGAACACAGGGCTGGAATTACTGTTTTAGCAATCATTAGTCTATAGCAGAGGTTGAAACTAGGAGAGTAGATAATTCTGTTAACCTTTTAGTTTCTCCATAACGGGACATAGACTTTAAGCTTACACTGCTTGCTTCCTTCATTATTTATTAAGCAAACTTTATCAGGCTCCTACTATGTGCAAAGCCAACTAAGTTAGGAGCTGGAGATCTGTATATAAAGAAGGTATAAACGGGGTCTTCAAGTTGCTGAGAATCCACCTGGAGAGACAACATCAGGCGCGATACCACTGTGGATGGTAGAAAACCAGTATGTGCAAAGTGCTGTGAAATGCAGAGGAGAGATTGGCTGCTCAGGAGATCATCACAGAAGAAGTAACATTTGCCACAGGCCTCAAAGAACCAAGAGGACTTGGCCAAGCAGAGGAAGTGGGCAGGAAAGGGCATTCCTGGCAAAACAAATCGCATGTGCATGTGGTAGGCAGCCCTGAAAGAAATGTGTCCGAGAAGTGGCGAGCAGTTCCACATGGCTCCACCGTTGGGTTCAGGGGTCGATACAGCTGCCTGGGGAGGAGGATACAAGGCAGGCGTGGCCTCACCTGAAGGGTCGTTTACCTTCAACCCAACAGTCAGGTGCCCAGTGGGGAGCCCATGAAGGGCCTAATATGATCAGATCTATGTTTTGTCTCCAGAGCCCTCCTTAGATGCCTCAGATAGGCTTCAGGTTGTTGAGGTCAGTTGTTTCTCTTAGTGACCAAAATAAAAACCAGTTACGTTGCCCCATATTTGATCTAATACAGGGCAGATTCCCTATTCATTCAGCATCTGAATCCCTCAGCTTGAGGCAACCTGAGTTTGGTCCTGAATGTATTGAAAGCAGTTTTCCTCTGCTTGTCCTCATTTTTCTTTTAGTCAACAGATTTCTACTTTTGGTTCCGTTCATGTAGCTGCCCTTTGTGATGTTGCCACAAATACTTCGTCTAGGTTTACTGCTCACTTGGCATTTGTGTAGTCCTCATGACCAGGAATATATAAAAGAACCGTGACAACCATGTTGAGCTTTATTTTTTCCTGGCGTTGACCTTGATTGCTTCACGGACCTGGTTTTGGGATAACAGGGAGTCTTTCGTCGGAATGTGCTCAAGTTCCTAGAATAAGGTTACTTAATGGGCTTGCACAGGCCTGTGGGGCAATCTCTGACCAGCTGAGTCGAGTTGACCCCTCTCTGCTCTTTCTCCACGCAGGCCTGCAGAGACTTCCTCATGTTAGCCCAGACCCACAGTAAAAAATGGCAGAAGTCCCTCCAGTATGAAAGAGACCAGCGTATCCGGCTGGAGGAGACCCTGGAGCAGCTGGCGAAGCAGCATAATCACCTGGAGAGGGCCTTCCGGGGCGCCACCGTGCTGCCAGCCAACACTCCGGGCAGCGCTGGTTCCGGGAAAGGTAAGACGCTTGGCCCTCGGGGGTGCCGGTTCGCGCACACACCAGGCTGCCTTCTGCCCTTGATAGAGGTGCCGTGGCCTCTCCAGAGCCAGGGACTCCCACAACAGGGGACTGGAGCTGGCCTTTCCCCTGGCCTTTCCACCACTTTCTATCACACGCTGCTGCGTTCATGGCTCGCGGTGTATAAAGATCCTGCCGTGGTGGGTCTGGGCGAAACCGAGCCCCGGTAAGTAACGGGCTGCTTCCCCCTGCAGATCAGTGCTGCTCTGGCAAAGGAGACATGAGCGATGAGGATGACGAGAATGAGTTTTTCGATGCCCCTGAGATCATCACCATGCCTGAAAATCTGGGCCACAAGTAAGTTGTCCTCGCCTCCATGTTGAACACGTCTGACCGTCAACGTTGAGAGATGTTTTGGTGGGAGGGTCGGGGCTGTCAGGGTTAACTGAGATCCGGGCTCTTTTCCTTGAACGAGCGGGACGCTGTCGACTTTTCTACACGAGCATGTTGTCCAGAGATGTTTAAATTCACGCACATTCAAATCCGAGCGCTGTCGCTCAGTCGCCCGTTACATGACAGAGTGGGTGCAGCATGCTTAGCATTGCGCTTTGTAAAGAAGTGGTGAGGAGCCAAGTCTAGTTGTGATCTGTGTTCTGACCCTCATGTGTTTCCCACCTGTGTAGACGTACTGGCAGCAACATCAGTGGAGCCAGCAGTGACATCAGCCTGGATGAACAGGTAACCCTCATGGGTGAGGGACTGGGCTCTGATTCCCAAGGGCTAAGAGAAACAGAAAACGCTGATTCTTTCTTAGTATGGGGGAAGGAGGGGGGCTATAAATACTGGCTTTTCTGTTCCTTGTGGGTGGTTGAATGGCTTTGTTTTTGCCCTCAGTACAAGCATCAGCTGGAAGAGACCAAGAAGGAAAAGAGAACTAGAATACCGTACAAGCCCAACTATAGCCTCAATTTGTGGAGCATCATGAAGAACTGCATTGGAAAAGAACTCTCAAAGATCCCCATGCCGGTGAGGTTCTTACACACCCAGGCTCTGCCCTGTGACCACCTGCTTGAGAGGCACCTCGGGGCATGGTCTTTGTTACCCTGATGGTCATAAACTGTCCCTTCAGATCAGCTGCTTTCATGTAGTCTGTGGATCTGGTTTATTTCCAGAGCACTTAGAATCCGATGCATTAGTTTTTAACATTCATGAGCAAATTCCTAAGCTAGATGTGCCGGGGCGCATGCACAGATAAATATGGCGTAGTTTCTGCCTTTCAAAGAGCACGTAGTTGAAAAGAGACAGACACAAAGACAGGTAGAGATTTTTACTCTCTGTGGTAGCGTTACGGGAAGGATTGTGCACACACAGGCTTGGGGAGCACAGAAGCATCGTTTCATCTGGGAAGATGAGGACCGTCTCCATGGTAAAGTCGGTGTTTGGTGTTTGACCTCCCTGCCTCCTGTCCCACCCTCCTCCAGTCCCCCACCCTCCTCTAGTCCGTCCACATTGTTACAAAATTGGCTTGTTTAAAGTTACAACTGTGGTCATGTGACTCCTTAGCCTACAGTCCTTAGCTGGATCCTTTTTGCTTTGAGGGTGGTCCAGATTCCTCAGTGGGCTTGATATTTCCTCCCTTGGACCAGGTCCCACCTACTGGCGGTCTAGTCACTCAGAGTCAGAGTTACCGTCAGACATGCAGAGACAACTCGTTTCCGCCCCCCCTCCCCCCCCCACCCAGGGCATTTGCACAGACTGCTCTTTCTGTCGGGACTTACATCCTCTCTCCACCCACCCGGGCCATTTTTCTTTTCCCAGGGCTAATACCCTTTTCTTCAGGATTCAGCTACAGCATCATCTCTTTTACCAAGCTTTCACCCGTGTGTCCGGTCATGGTGGGAGGGCTGTCGCTTGTGTTCCAGTAGATTCCATTGCTCGTTCATTACATAGACATTTACTGAGTTCCCACGATCCTCCTGGTGTTGGACCCATATATAAGTTAGGTATAGGATCCGTGTAAGGAAACAAATCCCAAATCTGTTTAAACCTGGGGTCAGCAATCTATAGGCCTTAAGGCTGAATCTGTGTGCTATCTGTGCAGCCTGCAAGCTAGGAGTAGTTTTTATGTTTTAAATATTTCAAAAGAATGAAAGGGAGGATAGTATTTCATGATGGGAAAATTGTATAAAACTTCCATGTTATTGTCCCTCAAGCTGTATTGGAACACAGCGATGCCTGTTCAGGCATGTGTTGTCTGTGACTGCCTCCGTATCGGGTCAGTGTGACAGAGCCCATATGGCAGTGTCATATGGGATAGTAAATAGTTAGGCTTTAAGGGCCATATAAATATCTACTCTGTAGCCTTTTACAGAAAAAGCTGGCCAACTGCTGCCTTAAATACTAGCTGAACTCATTCTCCTGTTAAAGTCCAGAAGTAGGTGATCCAGGGCCCATGCCTACTCCACATTCTCAGGACCAGGCTTTCCTTCTGTCCTGTGGCCTCAGTTCCCAGGTCTGAAGCGGCCATTCCCGCTGGGACCATTGGGGTCTCATTCCAGCCAGTAGGAAGAAGGAAGGAGAAGTGCATGGTCCTGCCTTTTCAGGGTGTTTCCTGGAAATCACATAAACTATTTCACTTCAGTCTCTTTGGCCAGAACTTAGTTACATGGCCCCGGCTACCTGGGGAAGAGGCTGGAAGGGAAGACTCCTCCTTTCAGTGGCATGACCTTGTTGAAAACTGGGGGATTCTATTTCTTGCAGAAGAAGGGCAGAGTGGAAACTGGGGAGTGGCCTACAGAAAGTGTTCTGCTCCCTTCTTGGGTCTGATGGCCTGGTGTGTGGGTTCTGCCTCTCCGCCGACTGTGCTCCTCGTGGTCTACAGAGACTGTGTCTTGTTGGTTTTCATCTCTTGGATGCTTAGCTGGTGCCGGGCACATACATATATGCCAGTCAGCAGATGTTGACGTAATTAGTTAACTGGTCTTAGAAAACAAATAGATTTAGGGGCACCTGGGTGGCTCAGTCGGTTGAGAGTCCGACTTTTAATTTTAGCTGAGGTCATGATCCCAGGGTTGTGGGATCGAGCCCCACATTGGGCTTAGCACAGAGTGTGGAGCCTGCTTGAGATTCCTTCTCTCTCTGCTCCCCTGTCCTGCTTGTGCACTTTCTATCTATATAAAAAGAGAAGAAAAATAGATTTATAGGTAGGCATGTAGGATTTTTGTTAGAAAAATGTCAACCTCCAGACAAGAAAAGGCCATGAGTTAACATGTTAGAGACACATAAAACAATTGGTTCCCTGGGGGCTTAAAAGGAAGCGCCACCTGCCTGGAGCCTTGCAGAAAGCCGTGGGAAGGTGGGCTGGGAAGGCAGGTCCTTGCGGCCTTAGAAATACAGTTCCTGGGGTGCCTGGGTGCCTCAGTCTGCTGAGCGTCCAGCTTGGACTCAGGTCAGGATCTCAGGGCTCAGCAGTTCAAGCCCACTTCAGATTCTGTGTCTCCCTGTCTCTCTGCGCCTCCCCTGCTCATACTCTCTCAAAATAAATATTAAAAACAGGTTTTTGTTTTTTTTTAAAGACAGAACGAAATACAGTTCCTGTTTAGAAATAGCTTCTGAGTCTAGGTGACCTCTCTCTCCTTTACCATTAGTACCTTGTTGACATTGCCACCAGGGCTGCGCAACCCTGTACCTGTTTGCCTGAGCCCTGGGCCTCACCCTTCCCGGCTTGATGCTGTGTCACAGGACGACTGGCTCCTTCCTCCAGGAGGCTTCTCAGGCATCTGTGCCGTGGCGTCCGGCGGGGCCCCGCCAGAGGCGGGCTCGAGAGGAGCGAGGGACCCCAGGGTACTGCCCCAGCCCCCTGGCGGTGCCCTGGCAGTGGCCGTGTGGCTGTGGACTCCATGGGACAGGCCCCCCGAGGTGCAGCTTCTGCGGGTGTCCCTGGCCCCCGTCCTCCCGCTGCCGCCCTTTGCTCCTCCAGCCCGGAGCCCGTGGTCTCCTGCTGTACCCATCAGCCTGGTACCAAATTCCCCCCTTCCTTCTGCTTTAAATTCGCAGGCCCATTTGCTTCCCTGTTGGGCTTCTGGGTGATAAAATGATCAGTATGAAAAGTTTGGGGCTTTTACAGACCCCCTCGTTCCCGGAGCAATTGTAGTTCCCGGAGCAATCGTAGTTCCCGGAGCAATCGTAGTTCCCGGAGCAATCGTCGGGACCTGGCCGCGCATGCGCACAAAGCAAGGGCGGACGGTGGCGCAGATGCCAGCCCCGGGCCGTGCCAGTGGGGTCTCGCAGCCCACGCTGGAGCGCAGCGCCCCTCGTTCCCTCACCCGCACCGCAGCGTTACTTCGTGTCGCCTGAAGTTCTGCCGATGAGTGATTTTGTTGGCGTTGTTTCGAAGTACCTTCTGTAAAAAAGACTCTAGAGGATTTGAGCTGTGCTAGTCCGTTACCCCCTCAGTGTGCATTTTTTTCTTCCACTGGTTTTTCTCCAAGCGCCTCTCCGTGTTGAGAAGATGGATTTGGAGCGTGCTGCCCTGTTTTAGTCGAGGCAGGGGTAGCATGAGCGGGGACATTGGGGGAGGGGCAGAGAGAGGGATACCAGAATCCAAAGCAGGCTCCAGGCTCTGAGCTGCCAGCACAGAGCCCCACGCGGGGCTCGAACTCACAAACCTTGAGATCATGACCTGACCCCAAGTTGGTCGCTTAACTGACTGACCCACCCAGGCGCCCCAAGGGGAGTGTTATTTTGGTCCAGTGGCTCTGTGTTCCCTGAGAAATTTTCACAGATGAATGCTGAGTATGTTTTTCAGACAAAAAGCAGGCTCTAGCTTATTTATTTTTAAATGTATAAATGCCTAGAAACAAACATGAACATATGAATACTGGTTCCCTTTGGGTGATGACATCTCAGGTAAATGTTTTCCTTTATACTTTGTTTTTAAAGTGGGTTATAGTAACAATGATAAGACCCTTCACAATTGAGAAGGACAGTAAAATATTAGGGTAGCATGTGGCTCAGGGATTGATGGGTCAGAAGTTGGACAAAAAATACAGAATACAAAACAGAAAAACAGAGAAAAAGATCGTAGGAAGGAGAAGTGTTTTTGTTTGTTTTAACTGAAATATTGCTCTAGGCCAGCTCCATCCAATAAAAAGGGAGTTGCTTTCTTCTTTCGTGCCTTCTCTGGATTCAGAACTCAGGCTCATATCACTCGTTCAGTGATAGTGCTGTCTTGTAAAGCCAAATAAGCTTTAAGGGCTAACCTGGGAACCTTACCTGTTTTTCTAGTAATTTTTTAAGTCGTAAAAATTCGAAACAGTCAGTTTGGAAGCTGACTCCTGCGGGGATGCAGAGACGTTGTCTCTTTTGTCCACCTCTGTCTCTACCCAGTGGGTAGTATGGGGTCAGGCACGCGTGAGGGCTCAGTAAATATTTGTAGAATGCATACGTGAATGAATGGGTGTCTTCTTCCTGACAGAGGCCCTCACACAAACTTACCTCATCCTGTGGGGAGAGCCTGAAGTTTGCTCCGAAGCTGGAAAGGCAGAAACACTCAGTCCCCTGTGAGCCCCCATCATGAGCACTCCAGTCCAGAACACAGCTGTCCGGCCTCAGAGAAGAAACCAGAATCCCAGCCTGATGTAGAACTCACTCGATAACTCACAGTCCTCTCCTCCAAGAGTAGAAGCTAACTTTTGTAGTGTTTTCTTTTCACCAGTCAGGCCGTGCCTGTGCTTATCATTTACCAGCCTTTCTTTCCTCCCTCAAGAATTGTAAAAACCTCACTTCCTCCCCGGGTATAGTCGTGCTAAAATACATGTCCTCTTTGATTCATTCATTCTGTACCTAACTGATGACCATCTCCGATGGGTGAGGCACCAAGGGCTCTGGGCTGTGCAATGATGACCAAAGAGGCACGGTTCCCAGCTTAGCGAGTGTACAGTTAGTGAGATACATGGAAACAGTAACGTATCCCACTCACTGACATGGACAGTTGACCAGGGAGAGTGCGCTGCTTGGAGGTTAGTTCTAGAGCTGGTCTCCTGAGCCAAGGCCTCTTCTCTTCCCAGTGAGTCGCTGTATCATCTCACTGTGTCTCGCTGAGTCTCTCCACCTGCAGAATGATTAAACGGTCTCTTACAGATGTGTGGGCAAAGTTTTCAGACCTGTTCTTTTCCCAACAGGTGAACTTTAACGAGCCCTTATCCATGCTTCAGCGCCTTACTGAAGATCTGGAATACCATGAGCTGTTAGACCGAGCTGCAAAATGCGAGAACTCTCTAGAACAGCTCTGTTATGTTGCAGCTTTCACCGTGTCCTCCTACTCCACTACTGTCTTCCGTACCAGCAAGCCATTCAACCCACTCCTTGGGGAGACCTTCGAGCTGGACCGATTAGAGGAAAACGGTTACCGATCCCTCTGTGAGCAGGTAAAGGAGCCTCGGGACTGTGACACGTTTACTTTTTGAAGAAAAGGGTAGCTTTTTGGTTGATCCCCCTGGGTGCTTTGTTTGCAGAAATCGAGGCCCTGTCATCCCAGACTGCCATCTTTTTTCCTTCAGGCTCCAACACTGGAGGCCTTGGTATTCACCTGCTGTGGGTATAAAAATGTCAAGTGTGAATTTGGGGTATTTATCACCAGTTTGTAGGCAGCATCTTTCCCTTCTTCTTTCTTCTTTAATTTGAACCACTGATTTCTCCAAGGTGAGTCATCACCCCCCAGCTGCTGCGCACCACTCCGAGTCCAAAAATGGCTGGACATTGCGTCAGGAGATCAAAATCACCAGCAAGTTTCGAGGCAAATACCTCTCCATCATGCCCCTCGGTAAGGCCACCATCCTTGTAAGAATTGATACTCCAGGAGTGAAAGATTTCCTGGCGTGATGGAAGTTGTCAATGGCTTAGGAGCCAGGAGACTGAAAGTCTGATTTGGGCACGGAGCCATCCTCGCTAGCTCTGGGCAGCTCTTTTTTTTTTTTTTTTTTTTTTCTTAAATAATTTATTGTCAAGTTGGTTTCCGTACAACACCCAGCGCTCATCCCAACAAGTGCCCTCCTCCATGCTCATCACCCCTCTTCCCCTCTCTCCCACCCCCATAAGCCCTCAGTTTGTTCTCAACATTCAAGAGTCTCTCATGGTTTGCCTCCCTCCCTCTCCCCAACTATTTTTCCCCTTCTTCTCCCCCATGGTCCTCTGTTAAGTTTCTCCTAATCCACCTATATGTGCAGACATATGGTATCTGTCCTTCTCTGCCTGACTTCTTTTGCTCAGCATAACACCTTCAAGTTCTATCCATGTTGTTACACATGGCCAGATTTCATTCTTTCTCATTGCCATGGAGTATTCCGTTGTATAGATGAACCACATCTTCTTGATCCATTCGTCCATTGGTGGACACTTAGGCCCTTTCCATGATTTGGCTATTGCTGCTATGAACATTGGGGTACATGTGCCCCTGTTGGGCAGCTCGTTTGACTTCTCAGCTGTCAGATGAGTGAGGAGGCCTGAGACTCCTTAAGGATCCATCCAGTCATAAGTTCTTATTCTTCTTAGCTATATTTAAGAAATCTGGAAGTACTGTTGTAGAATGCAAATTCTAGCGTGCTTAAAAAAACCTTTTCTACTAACTGATGTTTTTCCTGTGTTACGCTAGCAATCCACTTCATAACAATACATTTACTCCTTAAATCAGAACTCTTATGACTGCAAGGTTAGGTCTCTCAGACGGTCCCTCCCCTTCTCCTCTCCTTTCTCCCCTTCCTCTTCACCACTGGAAGGGCTAGGTATCATGGATGTAATGGCTGAACTCCCGGTAAGATGAAACTTTCTTTTAAAAGCTCTTATTGGGATACAAGTTAATTTTGCATTGAGATCAGAAAGATCAGGCCTGGGCATAGGAATCCTCATTTGCAGTGTTGGAAAGTCTGTACACTTTAGGGGAAATGAGATTGTTCACAAAGCGTACTAGAGGTTCTCGACGCTCCCTCGAACCAGAGCAGCCACATTTGGCCGTGTGTGTCCAGGAGAGGGAGTGCCTAGAAAGAAGCACAGAGCAGACAGACAGACAAACCTAGTAACTCCCTAGAGACAGAGTGCCAGGAACTGCCTGAGCTCCTGGTGGCCTTCCGCTTCCTTCTAGTCTCCAAGAGGCCTAGGCGTAGCGCTTGGGTAGAGTTGTCTTCTTTAGCTAACTCCCTTCCCAGAAATACAAAATGTAGCAGGAATGCAAATTTCCTAGAAACTAGAAATTAGCCAGAGAACAAATCCAGGAATGTTTGTAATACATTACAAGGAGAAAAGAAGAGGCGCCTGGGTGGCTCAGTCGGTTAAGCGTCCGACTTGGGCTTAGGTCATGATCTCACGGTTCGTGAGTTCGATCCCCGCGTCGGGCTCTGTGCTGACAGCTCAGAGCCTGGAGCCTGTTTCAGATTCTTTGTCTCCCTTTCTCTCTGACCCTCTCCTGCTCATGCTGTCTCTCTCTCTCTCAGAAATAAATAAAAAACATTTAAAAATTTAAAAAAAGGGAGAAAAGAAAGTGGAATGTTAGCCCTACCGCTTCATGGTTAACACACAGAAGGAACTTAGATGAAAAGGTGACAGTGATTTTGTTCTTAATGTTTACCAAGGCCCTAAGAATGGTTCAAATTGCTTAATTGTCTTTGGTGTTAATAATTTCAGAAGTATTAGGTTAAGAGTAGTAAATGCCTGGGATGTTTTCACCTAATTTGCAGAACTAGGATATTAGTGGTCCTGTCCCATGGAGAAGAGTTTCAGAGGCCCGGTGAAGATCTCCAAAGGGATGGGTTATATTTAATTCTAAGGAGGGTTGTATGCATTTTAAAAGTAGCAATAAATCTAAAAAAAAAAAAATAGCAATAAAATAGCAGTAAATCTACCAGTGACCTGCTGTACATTTTCTCTATGATTTGGTTAATCTAGAGTTCTTTGAGGGGTAAATATTTGAATATGATATGTGTGGTAGATCTAACTTTTTAGAGTTAAAAAATTACCTTTGAAAGGATTCCATTCCTATGGTTATTTAAGGATTCAGGGCACCAGAATGTCCTGTTGCCTTATGTCAATTATATACTGAGTACCCACCATGTACCAGGCGGGACGTGTAAGTGAACACAGCAAAGGTCGCAGCCTTCATGGGGAGATTGAACAAAGAATTGACGTAGTGACCGGAAACTGAAGTACAGAGAGTGGGATTTCTGGACATTGGCCCTGGAGGTGGCTCTATTTAACATTTTTGGATCAGTGACTTGGAAGGAGAATCCTGCAGTGAAATTTTCACATTTGCAATGGCATTCGACTCTCCTCGGGTAAATTGTTAAGCCAGTAGCTATCAGTGAAGAATGACTTACGGACAGAGTTGTGAGTGAGTAAACAGACAGATGGCTTTCGAGGTGGTGGCAGGAAGTTTGAGTCTCCTTGCAAAATAGACTAGAAAAGTTAGAACTCCTGAAGTCTGGAAAGAAGAATGCTTCTGGAAAATACAATGGAAGTGCACAAGATGATGAAGACAGTGGCAGAGGATACATGTGAATCAGTTCATCAAGTTCCAGGGCCCTGGAACCAGGTGGTAGCGTTAATGTTGAGATTTTTAGGGTTTTTAAACATTTTTTTTTAATGTTTATTATTGAGACAGAAACAGAGCATGAGTGGGGGAGGGGCAGAGAGAGAGGGAGACACAGAATCCAAAGCAGGCTCCAGGCTCTGAGCTGTCAGCACAAAGCCTGACGCAGGTCTCAAACCCATAAACTGTGAGATCATGACCTGAGCCGAAGTCAGACGTTTAACTGACTGAGCCACCCAGGAGCCCCAAGATTTTTAGTTTTAAATAATCTCTACCCCCAGCATGGGGCTTGAACTCATAACCCCAAGATCAAGAGTTGCATGCTCCTCCAACTGAGCCGGCCGGGCACCCCTAAAGAGACACATTTAAATGGGTATTATTTTATAGTTTTGGAGCTTTCTAACCCAAGAAGAACCACAATTTGGGAATATGAATGAAACCACCAGTCAGCCTGTTGATCTCCGCTTCAGTGACACACTACTGGGCTCCGTGGACCTTGAATTTGCTCCTGAATGATGTATTAGTAAAAAAAAATTCCCCTGATATATTTTATCCATTCTTCAAGTTTCTATTTTTTGGCTAGAGTGATTACTTATAATTAACATAATTACTGATTAGGTAGGATTTATATCTGCCATTTTGTCTTTTATATATATTTTTATACATATGTAAATATATATATATGTATTCTGTCTTTTTTGTTCCTCTCTTCCTCTTTTACTTCCTTATTTTGTGTTAAATAGATATTTTTCTAGTTTACCATCTTAATTCTCTTGTTATTTCTTTCACTGTATTTTTGAAGGTGTTTTTTGAGTGGTTATCCTGGGTAGTACAGTTAACATCTAAGCATCTTGTTCAGATTGACACCAATTAAATTTCACTAGTGTACAAAAACTTTGCAACTATATGGATCCATTATGTCTTTCCTCCTTTGTGCGTAAATTGTGTGTAAATTATGATTTTTATACATTATAATCCCATCATTATAGGGGTTTTTTGTTTGTTTTTTAGCAGCAGGCAAATGTTTATTAAAGTGTAAGATTAGAAAGGAAGAATAGTAGGAAAGCTCTCTTTACAAAGAGGGGACACTTGAAAGTGGATGCTCCCAGTGTAGTTTTGTAACTGTTGCTTTATGCAGGTGTCTTTTAAATCATATAGTGGAAAAAAGAGTTGCCAGCAAAAAATACAGCTATACTCTTTTTTTTTCTTTAATAGTTTAATTGTAGTTACCTTTACCAGTCTCTTTGTAACGTAAATTTAAGTTGCTGTTTGGTGCCCTTTCATTTCAGCCTGGAGGTGTATTCCTCTGGTGTATTTCTCTCTTTTCTTCTTCTTTTTCTTTTTAATATTTATTTATTATTTAAAAAAAATTTTTTTTAATGTTTTATTTATTTCTAGGCGAGGAAGAGAGACAGCCTGAGCAGGGAAGGGTCAGAGAGAGAGGGAGACACAGACTCTGAAACAGTCTCCAGGCCCTGAGCTGGCAGTCAGCACAGAGCCCGATGCGGGGCTTGAACCCACAAACCGTGAGATCATGACCTAAGCGAAAGTTGGACGCTTAACTGACTAAGCCACCCAGGCGCCCCATAATATTTATTTATTATTGAGAGAGAGAAAGAGACCGGGAAGGGGCAGAGAGAGAGAGAAGGACACAGAATCTGAAACAGGCTCCAGGCTCTGAGCTGTCAACACAGAGCTCCATGTGGGGCTCCAACCCATGAACTGTAGATCATGACCTGAGTTGAAGTTGGATGCCCAACCGACTGAGCCCCCCAGGTGCCCAGTGTTTGTTTATTTTTGAGAGAGAAGGCAGGGAAGGGACAGAGAGAGGGAGACAGAGGATCTGAAGTGGACTTTGTTCTGACAGCAGAGAGGCCAACACAGGGCCTGAACTCAAGAACTGTGAGATCGTGACCTGAGCTGAAGTTGGATGCCCAACCGACTGAGCCCCCTGGTTGCCCCTCCTTTGGTATATTTCTTGAAGGGAAGATGTATCAGCTATGAATTCTTTTAGTTTTTGTACGTCTGGAAGTGTCTAAAGTTTTTCTTTGTTTATGAAGGATAGTTTTGCTGGATACAGAATTCTTGGTTTGATAATTTTTTCTCTTCCAGCACCATTGGATATGTCCTCCCACTGCCTTTTGGCCCTTGAGGGTTCCGATAATCTTATTGGGGGTCATTTATATGTGATGTGTCACTTCTCTCTTACTGCTTTCACGATTCTCTGTCTTTCAGTAATTTGATTGTGATGGGTTTCAGTGTGGTGCCCTTTGAGTTTTTCCTGTTGGAGTCCGTTGTACCGCTTGGATATGTAGATTAATGTTTTTTATCAGATTTGGAATCTGAGGCCACTGTTTATTAACTGCCCCAATTGTGAACACCACCTCAGGCAGCCGCTGTGTTAAATAATTGCCATTGGTTGTGTTGATCGTCACCACCAGGAAAAAGCTGTTTTAGGTGAGCAGGTGCTCAGTCAGGTCAAATAAAGATGAGACCCGGGAGTGGGAACTTACAAGGAACCACCAGACAGGCCAGTTAGTGACAGTTCCTTGGAGATCAGTCTTTTGGGGAGCTTAAGAGCGTCTGCTCCCTCCAGCGCTGGCTAGGCTGCTTGCTGGTTTTTGTGTTGGCCGTGATTGTGAAGCTGCTGCTTTTCAAGGCTACTGCCAACCTGGGGAGAGGAGGATGGGAATATGGCGAGTTAAGGTGCCACAAAGCTCATGTTTCTTACTAGAGTTCTGAAAAAGTGGATTCTGATAATGTGTTGCCAGAGTTCTTCAATCGGTCTTACTGGGAAAAAAAAATGGATTTTTCTAAGGCTCAGGATATATGGAAGTCCTTTACTTGACCATTGTGAAATGGGGATCTTCCTTCCCAAATATTTTAGGAGCCTCCATTTTTAGGTCTTTCACTTATTGCCAAGTCTCTAAGACACAAATATTATATAAAGGAAGGCGCTCATGGGGCTTTCTTTGTTTTTCCACTCTTTCTGGGAGCTGACAGGAACACTACAGAGCAACAGGTACATCAGCAGGCTGGGTCACAAGGTTATGGTACTGGGCTGTACAGATACTCTGATCTTATTTTGAACTGTGGCTCTGGCACTCATTAGCTGTGTGACCTTGAGACGACTCCCTCTCACTGAGCTCAGAGTCTTCGTTGGTAAAATGGGGACGTGGTGGGCTGAATAACGCTCCCTTCTCCCAAAGTAATGTCCACATCGTAATCCCTGGAACCTGTGGCTCTCCCACTGCTCCTAGTGAAAGGAACTTTGCAGTGTGATTAAATTAAAGATTCTGAGGTGGGCAGGTAATTCTGGAGGATTCCTATAGGCCCAGTACAATCCCAAAGGTTTCTACGAGAAGGAGGCTGGAGAGTCTGAGGTGGTGGCAACAGAAGCAAGAGATGTGAGTGACACAAGAGACCACAGGCTGGAGAATGTGGTGGCCTCTGGCAGCTGGGAAAGGCAAGAAAACAGACCTCCAGTAGAGCCTTCAGAGTGAACACAGCCCTTCTGACACCTTGATTTGAGACTTCTGACTTCCAGAACTGCAACAGTTTAACAGCCACGTGGTTTTCAGCCATAAAGTGTGTGGCACTGGGTTCCAGCAGCAGTAGAAACCAAGGCAGGGGACAACAGTGCCCGCAGCTGGAGTGTCCACTGTATGCCACAAACGGGTCTAGGTGCTGTGGGGGTGTCGGGGTGAACAAAGCCACTCTGCCCTCACTTAGCGGGCACTCGTTTCTGGAACAGACACACAAAGTAACCAAACAGCTACATGATAATTATGTATTGTCAATTACCAATTACTTTGTTTTATCTAGTGGTGATTCCGTGAAGAAATAGAGCAAGTGGAGATAGGGGTTAATGGTGGCGAAGCAAGTGTGTTTGTGCTTCCTTGGACAAGGTCATCAAGGAAATTGTCTCTGAAGAGACAATTGAAGCAGAGACCTAACTAACAAAAAGAAACCAACCAGAAGATGATCTGCAGGAGAGCGTCCCAGCAAGGGAACCCCTTAGAGATCAAGGCCCTCAGAGGGGTGCAAACTCTGCATGCTCGAGAAGCACTCAGCCTCCAGCAGCTTCCGAGTGCTATCCGAGGGGCGGGCAGGGGCCAGCTCTTGTAGGGGTATGTACACCAGGGAAGGGGGTTGAGTTCTGTTTCAGCTGCAGAGGGAAGAAACAGAGAGATTTGACATTATCGCTGGGACATGTTTGACATGGATCATTTTGACCAGAGACTATAAGGTGACTGATGCAGAAGCTGGGACCAAAACAAAATTGTTAGCTTCAGGCAAGAGGCGATGGTGGCTTTCGATGGCAGGGGTGGTGGAAGAGGTACTGATCAAGGGACTGAGGTTATGTGTAGGCAGCACAGGTATTTGAAAGGCAGGTGTTGAGACTGAATGAGATCAGTACGAGGAGAACATAGCTCAGCGTCTGGGACACAGCAGGTGCTCTCAGCAGAGCTGCCACTGTTCTCACTGGCGTCATTGTCACATGGCCGCCGCAGCCAGCAGGGCTATTTTAATCTCTTGGACGAGAAAGACACATAATTAGTCTTCTGTTCATTAGTGGTTGCAGAGGGAGCTTAGAGTTCTCTTGCTCCCATAAGTGACTGTATTCGCAGCACATACCTGTTGTGTATCTTTCACTTGTTTTTATTGTTTTGAACCTGTAGTCGCCTATGTTCACCTCACTTTTGGGTTTGGTGTGTGAGATGAACTCCTAAAAACAGGAGAAGACCATATCTCCTGATTGTCCATGATATTTCAGACATTTTACTGGGCAAATAAACAGACATTTGCTGCACAAGGTTTGCTTATCCCAAGTCTATAGATGATAAAGCAGAGGCCTAGGGGGATTCCAGAACCTATCCAGGATACAGTACTCTAATACAGTTCTGTTACTAACCACCCAGATTCACACAGACCCCATCCATTAGGAGCACAGTCCCCACCAAGACTGCCCTCACATCAGATGCCAGCCACGAATTTGGGGGTCCCCAGGCCAGCTGTACTTCTGACCAACTGGCTTCAGTTTCAAGAATTTGCTAAGATGGGGCACCTGGGTGGCTTAGTCGGTTAAGCGTCCCGACTTTCGCCTAGGTCATGATCTCGCGGTTCGTGGGTTCGAGCCCCGCGTCGGGCTCTGTGCTGACTGTCAGCTCAGAGCCTGGAGCCTGTTTCAGAGTCTGTGACTCCCTCTCTCTCTGACCCTCCCCTGCTCACGCTCTCTCTCTCCTAGAAATAAATAAAACATTAAAAAAAAAAAAAAAAAGAATTTGCTAAGATGACTCAGAACCCAGGGAAAAGCTATTCTCACCATTACAGTTTTGTTATAAAGGGTACAAATTAGGACCAGCCAAATGAGGAGACCTACAAGGCAAGGTCTGCAAGGGTCATGAACACAAGCTTCCATGCCTTCTCCCACAGAGTCCAGGCCCATAGCCCTCCTGGCACATTGATATGCTCATCAGCCAGGAAGCTGCACCAAGCTTCGTTGTCCAGAGATTTTGTTAGGGTTTCATTAGGTAGGCGTGACTGAATTGTGGCCACATAACTGCACTGAGTATCTAGGCCTCCTTCCTTCCCGAGAGAGAGAGAGAGAGAGAGAGAGAGAATATCATTCCCAGGAGGTTGGGAGGTCTGGCTGATTTCAAGTGATTGAGAGTCCCAAGTCTCTTAACTACATGGTTGATCTTTCCGGCCTGGCCTCATCTTGAGCATAAGCAATCTAGGGGTCCACCGTGTCAGCTCTTTGGCGTGAACTGTCAGGGCCTCCATGAACAACACAGATGTTACTATTACTTAGGAAATCCCACAGGTTTCGAGGGTCCCTCCCAGGAACCATGTGTGAAGACCAGACAGATTCTTTATTACACAGTCCAGGCTCTGTGTAACATCTACACATCTACTGAGTGGGGGAGCCACGACTGAACCTAGTTTTTCCTCACTGCAAAGCCCCTGCTCTCTCCACTATGCCTCCTGTACTGTCAGGGGCCTTAGAAAAGTGGCTTGCTTACAGTCACACAGCGAGTGACTAACAAGAGGGCCTGGCCCTCAGTCCTGCCGGCCAGCGTGTCCTTTCCACAGTGCAGCTTCACTTTTCATGTTGGGGCAGATTTGACCTGTTTCTGTCAATTTTGCAGATGGTCTGGGCAGGCAGAGTTGGTGAAAAGATCGGAGCTTTTGCTTTCATTTTTATTCTTCAATTGCAGAATATCGCTTCCTACCTGCACCCTATCAGTTTCCGTGTTTGTCATTGTTTAGTTGTATTTTATTCATAAATTTAAAAATCAATCCGTGCTTCCAACATTTAAGATGTCTATAAATCCTGGGGCTCCTGGGGGAGCTCAGTCAGTTAAGCATCCAATTCTTGACTTGAGCTCAGGTCATGATCTCATAGTCGTGAGATTGAGCCCTGCGTTGGGCTTTGCACTGGGTGTGGAGCCTGCTTGGGATTCTCTCCCTCCCTCCCCTGCTTGTACGCTCTCTCTCTCTCTCTCTCTCTCTCTCTCTCTTTCTCTAAATAAGTAAATAAACATTTAAAAAAGATTATAACTCCTTTTTGGTTTATTATTCTCCTTTTAGAAGTGAGAAATACTGATAGAAGGAAATCAACCCATTGTTGTTTGTAGTTAACTTGGTGCTCTTATCCTAATATTTGGCCTCATTTGCATATTTCTCTCTGTTTCCAGGTAGCATCCACTGTATTTTCCATGCAACTGGGCACCACTACACTTGGAAAAAAGTTACCACAACGGTGCACAACATTATCGTGGGCAAGTTGTGGATAGATCAGGTAAGCAGAGGTGCCCAAAGCGTGCTGAAGTTCAGAAGAATACCTTCTTTGGTACGTCTTTGCAGTATCCAGGACATGTGAACTTGTCCCAGATTGTTACTGATTTATCCTTCTTTCCTAGGGAATTGCTCTCAGGCAGTAGCCCCACCCCGACCTTCCCGAGTTTCTAAACCACAAATTCTTATTTGTAAATGACCAATGTATAACCTTCAGTCAGTGACTGCTCTACCAGGACTGTGTTGGCTACTATGAAAGTACAAGAACATAATAAACATGGCTCCTACTCTTCATCGTTTCTTTATTCATCAGACATTTACTGCCAGGCAGAGTGCTAGGTCTCGGGGATCCAAAGTCAGATAAGACATTGTCCTTCAAAGAGTTACTGTAGCACTGAAGACCCTTGACAAATATGTAGAGATTGAAAAGTATTTAACACAATACCCTAGTGTAAGAACTGTACCAAAATAACATCTAATTACTTGCTCTTACGACAATGGTTGCAAAATAAATTCAGAAAAGGAAAGGGAATACCGTCTGAGCAGTCAGGAAAACATTCAGAGTAGATGTGGGACTGAAGCTGAGTCTTAAAGTGGTTTGGATTTGGAAGACAGAAAGGAGGAGAGAACGAAATGAACAGTGTGTGGAAAGGCCCTGCTGTATGCAGCCCTGCAGTTCGGAGTAGGCTACTCTGTTAAGTGCAGAGCTCGTGAAGGGTGTTGATTGGGGAATGGTTTGGAAAAGGTCAGTTATTCTGTGCAAATCAACGTATGGCCACCTAACGTGACACACAATTGAAAGAAAACCAAAAGGCCGTTTGGTCCTGATCCCAGCCTGGAATACCAAGGTTCTGAAAGGGTCCCACGGCTTCTCGGGTCGGCCGAGACCAGAACCCATAAGCGAGGGAGTCCAAGAGCATAAGATGGTGAAGTGAAGAATTATGAGGCATGGGGCCTGGCCGATATTCAGATCCTCCGGGATTGATAAAATCAAGCCATGGGACCTCTGGGAGGTTCAGTCAGTTAAGTGCCTGACTCTTGATGTTTTGTGAGATCAAGTCCTGCATCAGGCTCTGCGCTGACAGCAGAGCTCCTACTCTTCATCCTTTACGCTCGCCCGCTCTCTCTCTCTCTTTCTCAAAATAAATAAATAAACATTAAAAGTAAATAAGGGGCACCTGGTGGCTCAGTCAGTTAAGCAACCGACTTTGGCTCAGGTCATGATTTACGGTTCATGAGTTCAAGCCCCACATTGGGCTGTCTGCTGTCAGCACAGAGCCTGCTTCGGATCATGTCTGCCTCTCACTCTGTCCCTCTTCCACTCATGCTCTCTCTCAGTCTCTCAAGAATAAATAAACATTAAACAAATAAAGAAATAAAAATAAAAAATAAAATCAATCTATGATGCTTTTTATTTTCTAGTCCGGTGAAATTGACATTGTGAATCACAAGACAGGCGACAAGTGCAATCTTAAATTCGTTCCTTATAGCTACTTCTCTCGTGATGTGGCAAGAAAGGTAAGAAGAGTTGAAGTTCAAATGTTTTTCCTTTGTGTGTATCCCTTAGAAAGCCTACTCCTTTGGGGCTGGTGTAGATAATGGATGGGTAGATAGTCTCATATACATGCATATACATCTCCTAAACATGTATGCGGTGATTTGGTGGGGGGGAAGGGAGAGGGAAAGGAGAAAGTCAGCAGGAAAGGAGACTAGATTGTATTAAATCAAATCCGTTCTTTTCTGGGAAAGACATTGAGTAAGAAAGTAAAAGTCAAGAGCAATGAGAGATTGGACCAATAGAAGGGTTTCAGGAAGAAGGAAGGGCAGCCTGACCGCTGCGAGGTCTGAGCGTGAGTCATGTCACCACCACAGCGGAACTGCCCCATCAGTTTTGACAGACTGTAAAGAGTCGGGGATTAAATCTGCTTGTGGCTGTCTCTGACTTCCAGGGAGAAGAAAATGCCAGAAGTCCGAGTTACCAGTCAGATCCTTTTCCTGCGTGTATCTTTGTGCCAAAAATCCTTGTACCACAAAACGATGAAACCCAACTCATGGCCATTTATTTTACGCAGCTCAGAAAAGGCTACCAGAATAATCTGGGTGGCTCCCCGGTGTTTGCCATCGCAGCATCTAACCAGCACTTACCCTAAGGACTTAGGTCACCAGAACAGGCAGGTGCGCTTCCCGACACCTACCGCTGTGCTCCAAGCCCTGCTCTCTACCCTTGCAGGTGACCGGGGAAGTGACCGATCCATCAGGAAGAGTTCACTTTGCCCTTCTGGGGACATGGGATGAGAAAATGGATTGTTTCAAAGTGCAGCCAGTTGTTGGGGAAAATGGGGGTGATGCTCGACAGAGGGGCCATGAGGCAGAGGAAAGCAGGGTCATGCTGTGGAAAAGGAACCCCTTACCGTGAGTATCAGGGCCCATGCTGTCCAGGTAACACTCTGACCTCAACCTTGGAGCGGTGTTGGTGGCATTTCTGCCTTCTTTCCCACTGAACCATGTGAGGGATCAAGCCAGGGGAATCAGAACTTTTGGAGAGATTACCAGAAGGCAGCCATTGTATGAATTGAGGGGTAGTGTGCCTTGTCAAGAAAGCTGAAATGACTCAAGTCACATCTGCCAAAAAATATTTATAATTTAGAGCAAAACTATTCAGAAGCAGGTAGCTCAGTTGGTTGAATGTCTGACATCGGCTCAGACCATGATCTCACCACACGTGAGTTCAAGCCTCACATCAGGCTCCGCGCTGACAGTGTAGAGCCTGCTTAGGATTCTCTGCCCCTCCCCCAGTCACACGTTCTTTCTCAAAAATAAAACAGACAAACCTCTTCAGAAGCAGCTGGAGGAGAAAGATGCGTACTACCCATTAACAATTTAGCCTGAGACCCAGTGGCCATCTGGGATACATCTCTGAGATAATGTACAGGAATTCGGAATGAAGATGGAGGCTGTTTGTCTCCTGTCATCTCATTTACCCAGTGTTTAGTAACAGCAGGATCATTCCAGAAACAGGTTAAAAAGAAAGCAAAGGGGGTCACCTGGGTGGCTCAGTCGGTTAAGCGTCCGACTTTGGCTCAGGTCATGATCTCACGGTTCGTGAGTTCGAGCCCCACATCAGGCTCTGTGCTGACAGCTCAGAGCCTGGAGCCTGTTTCAGATTCTGTGTCTCCCTCTCTCTCTGACCCTTCCCTGCTCATGCTGTCTCTCTCTCTCTCTCTCTCTCTCAGAAATAAATAAAACATTGAAAAAAAAAAGACTTAGCCCACATTTAAAAAAAAAAGAAAGAAAGCAACGAGACTAGGAATAAGGAATGTTCATTTAGTAGAATGTTCCATTCTTCCTGATCTCCGCTGAGCACAGTACAGGCCCGGCAAACTGCTGGCACAAGTGATGCCCGGGGAGGGAATGGTCCAGTCTGGGTCTGAACTAGAGGAGCCTGACCTGGTCCTAGAGTCCGTCCATCTGTAGAACAGCTTTGGGGAGGTCATCTTTGGGTTGTTGCTGCTTAACCAGGGCCTGGGTCCTGGCATCACCGTTTCTCTCCCCCATCCTTTACTTGCAGGAAGAATGCAGAAAACATGTACTATTTCTCAGAGCTCGCCCTCACGCTCAATGCCTGGGAAAGTGGCACCGCCCCCACAGACAGCCGATTGCGGCCTGACCAGAGACTGATGGAAAATGGGCGCTGGGATGAAGCCAATGCTGAGAAGCAGCGCCTGGAGGAAAAACAAAGACTTTCCAGAAAGAAGAGAGAAGCGGAAGCTATGAAAGCCACCGAGGATGGTAACGAACCTGCCTCCTGCTCTCTTTCTTGACGTGTGGGGAATCACTTGGTGTGTTTCTGGCTCTCATTCTGTTTTTCCCCCTCCCCCGCTTTCCCTCCTAGGCACGCCCTACGATCCCTATAAGGCACTGTGGTTTGAACGGAAGAAGGACCCTGTTACCAAGGAGTTAACCCATATTTATAGGGGAGGATACTGGGAATGTAAAGAAAAACAGGACTGGACCTCATGCCCGGACATTTTCTGAAATGGCAGCAACAAAAAGGAGGAGGATCCAAAGGAGAAGATGACAGAGGATGTGCGGGAAAGCTGGCACTTGTGACTCTCACCAAGCGCTTTCCTCCAGTTTGTCTGTCTTAACCAATCATTTTTTCCAAATCAATCACCAGAAGCAGACCCCAGTGGTGGTGATTGGCTGGTTGCCTTAGCTGATTGAAACTGAAATCGACACACTAGATACCTGTTTGTAAGGGGGAGGTTCCGTTGCTGAAAGTTAGCGTTACTCCACTTCTGCAAAGTCAAGTACTCTTGGCTCTTCCTTCTCCCTCTGCCCCCATTTTAAGATGATGTCATTCGCCCTCCCCTGTAGAACCCTGCTCAGCCAAGGTCCACGTGAGATGATGATTCAGGGGCATTTTGGTGCTGTTCAGAGCAAGAGCTGAACATAGCAGTTCCTTCAAAGAGGAGCGTGTAAGACTCACCAGCGGAGGCATTGTGAATGGCCGCAGGGGAGCATAGACGTGGCGATACGAAACGGGGTCACAGACGGGGTCGGTTCAGTGGGATGTCCGCCCAGAGGTAACTGCGGTGTCGGAACGCTGGCGAGGGGGCTTGTTCTGTAAGCTTGGAGTATTCAGAGTGACGTTCTTGGAAGTTTCTACTTCACTTGCGTAAAATACCCTTCTGCTGTTCTCCGTCTTTGACAGCGACCGGAGGCCACTTTGGTGGTCGGTAGGAGGGTCGCATTATCCTCACAAGGGAGTTTTACGGACTTCCTCAGGCCGAGAACTTCCGAGAACACAAAGCAGGATGGAAAAGACCGCAAGTCACTTTGTTGCCCCGTTCCTCCTCATCCCCACCCTGCATCGCCTTTCTTGTCCCCACCCCCATCTCCCTCTCCCAGCGCGACACCAATTGGGTCTGGGCCCCCGTGTGGAGCAAAGCACTACCTGCCCCTTTCTGACACACTTCAGAATTTGAGAGAAGGACTTAATTTGGAACAAAAGTTTTCACCATCTCTCAAGCCCTATGGACTGGAGCCACCTCTCGAATAATGTGTTAAATACCTGTATATTATATATATGTAGAGAAAAATCTAATTTTTTTTGTTTGATTTTCCTTCTTCCCATTAAGAATCTTGTTTTTTGGTATTATTTGTCTCCCTGGGACTCTCTCTCGGACACACTGATTGGGCTGGGGCCTCCCCTGTTTCCATCTTTCAGGGGCTGGCAGGCCCCGAACCGGCGTAGGATCACGTGTGGCAGTTACTGAGCAGGGACTCGATCCCTGGGCTGCGTCATGGATGCCTGCCTGCTGTCGCGATTCTGCTCTCCCGATTGCCCGGCTCTGGAAACCCAGATCCTAACTCTTTCCTGCCTTTTTTCCTTCTTCTGTTAGGAAGAGCGTGGGTAGAGAGGACGGTAATTTCCAGTTTAATTCCGCCCCTGTCCACATCGGAACACACACAGCTGATTTCCCAAAAGAAACTTCTTCCCAGGGCGTGGGGCTGAAAGTGCCGTCGTGTGGGGGTGGGTGAGAGAAGCCCTCCCATCTGGCCCTGGCTTCCTTCATGTTGTGTTCTGTATTTGTGTCAGCCATCCCGTTCCCAGATCTACCCCCGTGCAGCCCACCCTTGGTTGAGGACCACAAATTGAGGTGCCTTCCTTGTATGCTTTTTGTTAGTGCTTTTTGTTTCTGTTCCTTAACTGCTGAGCCTCAGCCAGGGTGGGTCCTGGGGGAAATATCATTCCAGAGGAAGCCATCCCTGCGTAGGAATGGGATTTACACTAGACTGATGAGTACTTCTGTTCCTTCCTCGCCATCCCTCCCTTCTTAGCTGCGATGCACTTGAGAAAGGGGCAGCTGCCCGGGAGTTTCCTCCAAGACCCCGATTCCCACCGTAGGCGCGGGGTCGCGCTGGGTCTTCTTTCGCAGGGGCTCCTAAAGGCTGTGACCTCATCAGGGGATGGACTTCAGCCAGAGCGGGGATTCCTCAACCACACTGAACAGCTCTGCTTTTATCCCCTGGCCCCCTTTCTTCCTCCACCATCTGCACTACATTTCCAGCCTGATCCCCAGTCAGAGTCCTGCTAATGGAGAAGCTTTGAGTCCTTCAGGTGAAATGAAGTCACATCGAAACAAAACTATATATATTTTCGTTTTTTTTTTTTTTTTTTTGCCTTATCGGTTTCTTTTTTCCAAGAAAACTACTAAATTAAATAATTTTTAAAAAGCCATATCGTTTGTCTGATTCACTTGTACTCCCACTAGGGAAGCGGTGGTGGCTGAGGGGCTGGAGGACTGGCCCGGGGCTCGTTCGTTCTTGGGAGGCGGGCAGCTAGTCTTTGCGAGAAATTGAAAGGAAAATGGGGCATGGGTTTCTAGGTGTTTCAACCATTTGGCAACATTCCCAAGGGCCTGTGGGCAGAAGAGTAGTTTCAACAGCCCCTTCCACTTCAATGGAATGTGATCGTCCGTGTCCCTCCCTGGGTCCAGGGGAGCCGTGTCTAGTGCTTTTCATGTTGGGCCTGTTTCACCTCCAAAAATAAAAGTTTTCTTGCATTTAATTTCACTTGCCCATGTAGATTCTCAGATTCTTAGCTGTTTCATGTAGGGATTCAAATTCTGTACTTTGAAACGTAAGCAATGGGGTATTGATTTGAAGGCCTTGGAGAGCATTAAGGACTGAAAAGGCTTCGTTAGGTTTCCACTGTAAAGTTCAGGACGGGGAGAGGTGGGCGAAGGAATCCAAGGGCCCGGAGAGGCGGCACGTCAGGGCAGGCTCGGGCCCTGATCTGCTCCTGGGTCCAGCGGGCTGAGTTACAGATTCTGAACACTGTCTGGCTCACACACAATTAAGAGGTAAATGTTAGAATCATGTTGAATATGAAGAAAGGCACTGGGAGGGAAAAAAAGCCCTAAGTCACCCAAGGTCACACAGCTGATTGGTTGGTCACAGCATTGGAATCCAAAGCTGGGCTTGTCTGACTCTCGAGTCAATGACCTTTACAACCTTGTGTCCTCAGAGAAACTGGGTTGGAAGGCAGCTGGCAGTGAAGTCATTTCCTCCTGTATTAGGTTATATTATGCAAAGGCTTAGTGATACGGAAAGTGCCACCTTGGAGGTCCACCTGCAGGAAGGAGCAACCTTGGAGTTCAGCCTCCAGGCTCCTTGATTTCTCAAGGCTCTCCTGTCCACAAAATGAGCTGTGTCGCCAGGGAGTGTTCTAGCCTGGCTCTTGGTAAGGCCACTCATCTGTTCAAGTCTGCCTGATCCACACTGCTGGGCTTGACGATAATTCAGCAATTTACCGGTTTTTTTTTTCTTGGCAAGTGGAAAACCATTGCAGTAGACCCTTGCACTTGTGAGACCTACATCCGGCAATCTTGAATAGCAGTGTGCTATATGGCTTCCTCCAAAAGGGGCGGTCAAATGTACCTGAAACATATTAACAATCCCTTCTCTAATCTTTCCATGGGCTACTGTAACCTGATGCGCTGGGATCACTCATGCTTCAAAATGATAACCCAGCACAAGTATAAATTAGTACCTTGTCAGGGACCTTGGAGGTCCCACAGAAGAGGTAAAACCTTTACATTTTAAGGGCTAACTCTACTTTCAGCAAGATAAATGAAAAACAACCCTAAAAGGAGGTGTAGAAAAATCTTTGGAATTTATTCACTATAAGGTATATACCCTGTGAAACTCTAAGATTGTTGTCAACATTTAGAGCTTGCTTCTAGACGTTTATAAAGCTCTTGCCCAGTGATCTGCCCTGTCCGGTGGGAAGCATTCCAAGCTCATAAAGTAATGGGTAGCTCTATTCGCCTGGGGCCTTCCTCCCTACTACCTTCCCCGTTCACACTGATCCCTCGTTCACACTGATCCCTCGGGCGAAGGAGGCTGGGTGGCCAGATGAGGCCTCTTTAAAGGCAAAAACTAAAGAGCTCAATCAATAGCCTTGCAGAGGTCACACCTGAGTTTAACCAGGTGATTTTAAAAGTTAAGAACCAGTTGGGGGGTTCCTAGATGGCTCTGCCAGTTGAGAATCTGACTTCCGCTCAGTTCATGATCTCGTGGTTCCTGGTTCAGTTTGTGAACTTGAGCCCTGCCTCCTGCTCTCTGATGTCAGCGCAGAGCCTGCTTTGAATACTGTCTCCCCCGCCCCCCGGTTCCCCTCCCCCCAACTCTCTATGACCCTCCCCCGCTCACGCTCTCTCTCTCAAAAATAGTAAGTAAAAACATTTTTTAAAAGAAGTTGGCCCTGAGACATAGCACTCTCTTGTTCGCTCGCTCGCTCTCCTCTTCCCTGTCTCTCTCTCTCTCTCTCCTCTCTCAGCATCCACTCCAGTCTGCTATGTAACACACATTAAGGACACAAATGGTGAGAAAGAGGTCTGACAAACAGGCAGTTAGAGCTGGTGGAAGCACTGGAGGGGGCCCATCAGCCTGCAGGGAATGGTTGGTGGGGAGGAGGCCTATGGAGACATGTCGGAGAATTCTAGAAGGAGGAGAATGTATCTGGGTTAAGAGCCACAGGTTAACAGGGAAGGGCAATGTATAGAACACGGCGTGGACGAAGATGAAGGGGAGTCTAGGAAAGCATCCTGTGCCTGGATGGCTGCGTGAGTGGTGGGTGTTCAGAGCGAGGAGAGAGCACTGGCCCGGCGCTGGAGAGAGGAAGGGCCCAAGTAAGTCATGGGAGGCTACAGCCCATCTGAAGAAAGAAGTCTTGGTTTTTGCTCTCAAGGAGGGAGCCCGTGCGGGATTTTTAAGCAGGGTGAAGGGTTCTAGTGTGGGAAATGAATTATACGTAGGAAGATCAGTGAAGAGGCTGGCGAAGATGTGAGGATGAAGAGAAGCGGAGGGAGCCCAGAAACCCTGAACTGGAATGAACAGCACTTGGGTCTGATTATGGGTACAGAACAGAGAGGGAGGAAATTGTGTTTTTCTACCTTGAGAGATTCAGACAGAAGGTGATAGAAAGGTAAGTTTAGAGGGAAAGATGGGTTCATTTTTGGACATTCTGAGCGGGACCTCCCCGTAAAGAGGTTGAGTAAACAACTTAAAGTGTCAATCTCTTGGTAACGGCTACATTTTTGTGAGACTGAGGGATGGGATGCTAAGAGGGGCTGTTCATTAAATTTCACCTGGTCCATTTACAAAATGCACAGTCCTGAGCCCCCTCTGCAGAGATCCTGATCCAGTTAGTGCTGGGGCTCGGTCATTTTATATATGCGAATGCTAGGGATGCAAAATTATTAAATAGGAGGAGGTGGAATAAAATCAACCTATTAGAGTATATTATTAAACCATAGCTTGCCTCTTAGAGTTTGAGAGACGTCTCAGCCAACTGTATTTTTTGACAGTGTCTGTATATTTGAGAGTTTAAAGACGTCCAGGTGGGGTTACAAAAACGGAGGCATATTTTCACGATTTAGGTTGGGATAATCAACGTTTTAGCATACAGATGCCACGACTCTACGCATACCTCATCTGGAGGAAACCTGAAAAGCCACATATGCAGCCTGTGTAAACACATGGCCCTCTTGTTCAGTTCCATCTATTTCTTAAGTCCAAACAGCTGAGAAAAGTAAAATTATTTACCAGTTCTAGCTTATACACAGAGGCTTTGCTTTATCACTTCTATAATATTTGCTAGATGCTTACCTCCAGCTGAACCTATTCTGATCTGTTCTGTTACAACGGAACAAATACTATTTCATTACAGAAATGCGGAAAGCACCTTTCGCAACCTGCCGAAATAGCTCAGTTGGGAGAGCGTTAGACTGAAGATCTAAAGGTCCCTGGTTCGATCCCGGGTTTCGGCACTGGTTTTAGCTGTCACTGCCAGCAGTAACTCCTTCCGCGTGCGGCTCAGGTCTCATTATGAAAGAATTCCGGGCCACCCTGGGGGCGGGGGGCCGGCATTCTCCACCCACACGAGCTTGGGGTGTAGACGCAGAGGGACTGCCCTGCCTTTTTTCCCCTCCGGGAGTGGACAAAATTGGAAACCAAAAAGAGAGAGAGGTCGTTGCTTTTAAACTGCTCGAGTTAAAGTCAGGGTCCCTTCCCCGACCTTGGATCTGGCTGAGACCA